GGCATAAGGAACCTCTAGGTGACTAATGAAAGGACGATGAACCGGTGAAACCCAAGGGGCAAGCCCCGATAGACTAAGGTTAGAACCCAATGTCCTAGAACCGAATTAGGGAACCGTGGGAGTTCTGTTAAATTAAGATGCGAAGAGAGCCTACAAGTAGGTGGCTTACTGAGTATAATTTTTATACTCATCCCGTCCTCATTTATTTTTCTCAGGTGTTCACTGGCTGCTGGTCGAGGTAGAGGAGCGTTTGAGAGTTGTACAGTCACAGAGGGGGTCGTTCCGGAGCGTCAGTCCCTTTTCGGTCTTTTAGAGTCTTTTGTATTTCGTTTTATATTTGCAATTTCTTTTGTAATAATTAACAAACGAAATTTCTCTCTTTTGTTTTAATTCAAAGTATTTTTATATTTTTACTTTGGTTTTTCTTTTCTTCTACTTTCTTTTTGTTTGTTTTCGATTTCGCCTTTTGGTTCACGGTCTGATTTTCGAAGCCTCGAAAATCGAGTCGTGACAAGTGATGCCTGTTACATACAGCAAGAGGAATGTGCTATACCTACATGATATGATTGAGAACAGTTTTAATATCACAGATGCAGAGAACACCGACCAATTGTACTCCACTCCACTACATAAGGAGCCAGTACCTTAGCCATAGGAGCAATGAAGGTGCAAAACCAAACGCCTCCTTCATGCCATAAAATGAATACCGGATAATCTGCAATCAAAGATTGGTAAAAAGTGTCAACTCAGAGAATCTTCCATCTTCTCCCTTTAACTGTACCATTCAACTATTGGAGGGTAAGACGAAGAAACCAGACATAGAACTTATCCACAACAGATTGCATATCAACATAAAGTCAGTAATTGTTTATTCGTCTCCATGGTACATTTTGAAAACTGTATGCCTTGATAGATAGATTTTGGAACTTTTTTCCATAACTTAGGACTGGTTTGTAATGAATTTCTAAGTATCTAACTCTTTCTATAACTACTTCAAAAAGAACACTTTGAGGTAGATAAAATCACTTTTGTCGCATTTAAAATAACTCTGAAACATGTTTTTAATTACTCAAAATCAATTTGTACGGTATGAAAATTGTAAAATCAAACATTAAGTTGATTTGGAATGAATGATTAAAGCATGTTCTGGAGTAGGTTCGAACATGATGAAAGTAATCCTAACCATTTCAAAACTCCTCAAGCATGTTTGAGAGTAAGTTTGGAATGGCAAAATCACTAAGAAGTGATTTTTGACCATTTCAAAGTCACTCCTAAACATGCAAGAATTAAGTAACCAAATTTTCACAATTCTACGAATCATGTCAAACACAGTCTAGATCTACTAATTTGAATGAGGAAGTGATGATCTAATAAATTATCATCTCACAGAATATACAATGGTCGGCAAACTTAACAATAAAAACTGAGTTAACAATGTACATAATTCCTAAAAATCAGAAGCCCATCACAAAGCATCAACCATTGGAGTTACACACACACAAAGCCGATAAAGCCGATAAGCATAGATTCATTATAAAAAGAATCTTGGATCATCTCTTGTGGTTTGTTAAAGGTTATAATCAATAACTAAAGTGAGTAAATTAAGTTTGGAATTAAGGTTTCCAGTAAAAAAAATATACTTGCCTCTGTGATAGACCAGCTGATGACCAAGGAGGAAACAAGTACATGATTCCTAACCTGCCAGACCCAAGAAGTAATCAGTTTTATCAATTAAAATTACAAACATAAACACTAATTTATGGCTAATTGAATGAAAAAGAAGGGTTTCAACCTCAGGGAAACTCCATAAGATGCCCCAAGTCAAATACAATCTAGAACCTATCTGTGGTAACGTTGCTGTTACAGGGGATCTCACAAACCCTAATTAGGCAAAAACCAAAACCCACGATTCAGCTTCGTTTCTAAGCTACAATCAGGGAAAGAAAGAAAATCTTCGACACCAAAACTTGTAAGCGGATCAAATATAGCTTACCAACGAGGCCATGGAGAATCTGCGAAGTAGAAAAATGCGAGAAATCATTATAAAATACTTCATAATAGGCTCTATCACGATAATCAGCTCATAAACCAGAAACGATCAGGGAATACCTCTAAAACAGCTGCAGTTTGAGCAAACTGAAGAGGACGTTCGACGGCATTATATACCTGTTGGTGACCAGATTCCTTCAATTGCTTGACTGAGAAGTAGAACACCTGAACCCTTCAACACCCAAGCAAAATTTTACATTACGAGTAGAAATATGAAGAGGGAAGTGATTGAGAAGGGGGAAGAACTTACCATCCGACGAAGAGAGTCCAATTGTAGATGGAGAGGTACAGGCGCCGAATAGTTGCCAAAAATCCCGCCATTGATGGAGAAATGGAGAACGATTGAAGATCTGGAGAATCTTATGAGAAAATGAGTACATAGCATTTAGTTGAGCAGCTGAACTACTTCAGTGATTGCCGTCTGATCGGATCGCCCACCTCCAGAAGATATCTTTCTAATATAATTATGACAAGTGGTACAAATTATCGCTTCCATCCTAGGGCTTCATGGAGTTTGAATCTTTTCTTTTTTGTTGTTGCATCTACTTATATGTAGCTTTAATATATATCTTTAAAAAAAAAATAATTCTTAATCCAACTTTAAATTATAAAAATCTTTGAAGGTGTGATATATAAGATTTGTAACTATATATCCTTCCATCATTGCCCTTGGACACCTTGGACATTTATTTTTATTTCTGTTAACTAATTGTAACCGGTAGGATTATTAAGTTGTCATATTAAGTTGCATAAGAGTGTTTTATTTCTGTCAACCAATTGCAACTGGTAGGATTATTAAGTTGTCATATTAAGTTGCATAAGAGTGTAACTTGGCTTTGTTGTATCTATCGGTGTGCTTGCTGTTTCTTGATACGTTTATATCAAATTGTGCATTGATCAGCGTAGAAAGACCTAAATTTTCTTGAAGAGAATACAATAAATGCTCTTTAATTATTCTAACTTTAAAATCACTTTAGTCATTTAAGCTATTTTGTCAATAGATTAATTTATGGATGAAACGACATTTAAATATACAGTGAGACATGGAAATTACATAGGTTGCTTAATGGAGTTATTAGTGTTACTATATTTTCTGTAAAAAGTATTCATAAATCAGAATAAATATATTAAAAATAATTTGTTGTGTAATGCTCATACACATGATTGAATTAGAATTTGAAATTGACATATTGCCTCCTTATTCTCTTACATCCTTTACCAAATGATCACCACCTTACGTATTTGTTGCGATAACTATTATCCCCACATGTTTGTGTTTTGTTATCACTCATATGTTAGTTTAGGAAGGAGGCAAATAATAATTTAAAATAATTTGATTTGATGGGCAGCACGTGTGATGGTTGGATCATGGGTATGACTTTTGTTTAAATATGGTTAATTACGTCTCTTTTGTTTAAATATGGTTAATTTTATGTCTATTTGTGTCCGTTTAATTTCATCGATATGACTTTTGTTGAAATATGGTTAATTTTACGTCTCTTCCTGTCCATTTAATTTCATAGAGCCAATTTAATTGTGTTTTTTATAACTAATAGAAGTTTTATAGGAAGGTTCAATCATTTTTTATGCATAATTTGTAGAAATTATGATTGAAATGATTGGGAGAAAATAATGCTGACAGTTGCTCAAAAATTTTTTATAACTATTTGTAGTTGAAATTTATGTCTAATTTTATATATTTTTAATCAAAGAAAATAATAATAATAAATACATAAATAAATAAATATATATATATATATAAACAATATTTTGCCTATCAGAAAAAAGAAACCGAATGTATAAGATATTAATATTGATATTAATATTGGTAAAAAAAACCTCCCTATTACATTGTTGTTTGTAACATTTTTTTTCAAACTCTCTCTCCTCATTACACCAAAGACTTTTTTCTTTTTATTATTGGATACCGAGTATTAATGACATCTTGACTCACCTTTCCATAACCTCTATCTCCCCATGCTTCTCCCCACGAATTTTTAATAATCCAATATTTTTTTTTTCAGTGGTTATCTTTTCCATAACCAACGATCAGAATAGCATGCCAATGAATTTTGCTGAGGTCTATGTTTAACAGTTCAGTACCATCATATATTTCCTACAAAAATAAAAAATACTTAAATCAATTAAAATAATAATGTTACTATAATATTTTATTTATTAAAAAAATAATTTACTTACATTTTTTTAGACACTTTAACTGGTTCGTAATTCTTATACCACCAGCTATGGGTTGTTCCCCTGTTTTTGAAGTTAGGTTTTCAATATCTACTTTTTCATATGCTTTAATCTTGATCAATTGCTGCAATTAATAAAATCAAAGGTTATATTATATGAATATATATATATATATATATATATATATATATATATATATATATATATATATATATTAAAAGAAAAAATATTAAATTAATGAGTTTTAAGAGAAATGTTACCGTGGTGATTTTTTTGCAATTTCCTCTCTTAGCATTAAATTTGTAATCCTTCTCCTTAGCAATTCCTTTGTTAGATATGATCCACTCAAAAGCTTTTCTTACTGATGAGGTATAACATTGTTCAAAAAATAATTATTAAAATGAAAAATAAAAGAATAAGATGTAAAATAAATCTTAATATAAATATATATATATATATATATATACGCAATAAAAAAATAACTAACACTTACTACATTCTTTTTTATCTCGAACTGGAGTGAGAACGTTATGGTAACGCCAATCAAAATATTCTTCCTGCAATTTTAAATATAGATAAAGTAAAATTGTAGTTAAATGTACACATTTTCATAAATTCATTAATTTGAATTTGAAAATGAGTATGTTTTAACCGTAATTCATTTGATAATGAGTATGTTTTAACCTGTAACTCATCCATAATAGATTCTGCAGAATTTTAAAAAAAAAAAAATGGTTAGACTACAATTATTTAAAAAATAATATATTAACAACGAATCTCCACAATAATATAATTTAGCGAAAGTTCATGTCTCGTATTAGAAAAGAAAAAATCTATTTTATTTTGTTCTACCTTCGTGTAAATGAACTGGTTGTTATTACCAAAAATATATAAATGAGTGGTATGGACTAAAATATTTACCAATATGATTTTGGATCCAACTTTAGTATGAATAAATAATATTTCCATTTGATTTCCATTTTTATTTTTAGAATTTGATTTTTAGGCTGAACTATAATAAAAAGAAAAGAAAATAGAAAATAAAAAGGAAAGAAAAACAGAGCTCATGCAAAAACAAAGAAGAGACCTGTGGCAAAGAAAAAAAAAATCTAAATAGAACAACACAATTAAATGAGTAATATAATCTTCTTCTTCAAATCTAAGTATAAGGTTAGCATTGAAGAAGTTAGAAAACACTTTCAAGTAAAAGTATATAAGGTTCAATGGTTCAACAATGTGCAGGAGGCATTGCCCTGCTGAAAACAAGAGGCATTGCCCGAAGGGTGGCAGATGCCAGATTTCTCCAGCCACTGAGTTTATCAGATAATTGGCAAAGGAACATGAAATTCTGATTACTTTGGATATACATTAAATAATTAAAGATACTTAAGACAGAGTAGAAATAATAATAAATAAATAAATAAATAATATTGATAAAAAAATATTAAGTAACTAAAAATAGAAAAATAATAAAAAATATTGAATAATTAAGCATTTGGAAGGGAGGAAATAATATTGATAAAAAATATTAGATAATTAAAAATAGGAGAATAATAAAAAATATTGAATAATTAAGAATTTGGAAGGGAGGAAATAGAGGTCATAGAAAATGAATCAATTATCAGTTAGATAAGTCGGATATGCTTCTATACTAATATGCTTCATAATTTAAATAGTAAATTTAAATTAGTACTGCCCTTCTTAAGAGATATGTGGCACATGTTTGTGCCAAGAAACAATAAAAAATTCAAACATAACACCAATATATTTAATTATATAATATTGTCAGACCTCACCACCAAACAAAATGATATGATAAAAAGTAATAAAAAGTAACAAGTAGCCAACCAAAATGATATGATAAAAAGTAATAAGTAGTTTATCGGTAGCTAATTAAAGAACTTTGGCCTGCAAAGTTCGACGTCTATAATATCTTTTATAGGAATAGCGTAATAAACTTTAGCTTGGAAGGTTATTGGGGAAAATTCTGCCGAGGTTCCAATCGACTTCACATTAAATGTGATGTAATACATCGAGCCACAGCATCCAGAATGATTCGCCTTGACAATCTCTACAACTTCAAAATTAGTTCCCTATAGATAAAAGAAACATTTCACAATCTGTACGACTTCAAAATTAGTTCCCTGTCTATAGGAAGATAAAAGAAACATTTACAGAGATGAGTGGACAAATTCTTTTTCACATGATAAAAAAAAAAAAAAAAAAAGGGCATAGCTAGCAAGTTAGCACATTGCATTTTCCTTGTTGTAATGTTTGATAGCTTTATTTGCTGAGATTCGAACCTCTTTAAGCATCCACGAGTCCTCATGCATATCTATTGGAGCGATGAGACTATATGAAAAGACTTTGTCAAAATTTGGTACATCAAAACCCTGCATACATCCTTCAATTAAAAAAAGAAAAAAATATTGAGTTTGACTAGTGAAAAATTAAAAGAAAATAAATCTCCGATTCTTCAACTGCACGAAAATACTCCGTCTCTTCTTTCTTAATAATAATAATAACAAGAACAAGAACAACAACAACAACAACAACAACAACAACAACAACAACAACAACAACAACAACAACAACAACAACAACAACAATAATAATAATAATGTTTAACCATACTATTTTAACCCTCCTCTATAAAAAAAAATAAAGCAACTAAAATAATAATATTTAACCATACTATTTTATATAATAATATTTAACCATACTATTTTATTTATTAAAACAATTTTTTTTACTTATACTTAGAGATTTTAACTCATTAGTAATTCTTGTTCGGTACACTTTGCAGACATTTTACTTACATTGGTTAGGCATTTTAGCTCATTAGCTTATTTTAACTCATTAGCTCATTAAATAAAAGGTAAGTAAAATGTTTTTCTTGATCTAACATAAGAGCTACAAAAGAAGAATAACGTGACCGCATCCATACTAGCTTTGGTCTCATGGTCGTCACAACAATATCGTCATTCGTACAATAGTGCCTTACTTCTACCTGAAAAATATGAGTAGAAGTGTTTTTGAATATTTTAAGAAATATTTAGCAAGTAACTTCATTATTGGGGTCGAAACATAGCAAATAATCATAGTTCTATGTGAAGAGAAAACAATAAAAGTGTGTATACGAATTATTTTTAAATTTGACTTTTTTCTAATTTTAAATAACTTCAATAAATGAATTATTTAGAGGGTAAAATCTCTTATATTAAAATGTTTAAAAGTGAGAGAACCTCCCTTAATTATTATATTTAAAGTTCCTATATTGAAAAAATGGAAGAAAAAAAATGGA